TGGGGTTATAAGCTCTTCAGATTGAGCATTTTGTTGAGTGATGAATGTCGTTATCTCCTTTGTAGGGAAGCCCCTTCATCACTGGCTTCCCCATCATTGTCAATAACCACAGTGGCTGCGGTAGGCTCGGGAGCGGCTTTCTTCACCTTTTTATTCTTGCCCTCGGCCGAGGAAGAACGCTGCCTTTTTGGTTGCTTGTTCTCCGACCGGGGACTCTGAGAGAAAGTACTTGCACCGGAAGCAGATTCGATGGTGCCTGTTTGGGTGAGAGCCTCATTTAACAACCTCGCATCCTCTACGGAATCAACCAAAATGTCTTCCTCAGGGATGATAACAGAGCCCTGTGGGAGACCTGAACCCAACAAAAAGGTGAGGTTAACCAGTTTTCTTATGTAAAAAGTTGAAATGAAGGTAGAATCGGTTTTACGAGTCAGCTTATCATGGTTCTTGGCCCTCCATCCATATTTGGGGGACAACTCTTTCCACCGGCGGGTCTCAGGCGTGGTGATGTCCAGAATCTTCTGAACCTACCAGTCCAGGCCTTTAACCCTCAGTGGTGTCCACCGAGTTGCTGAAATAATGAAAGGAGAAGGATCAGCGACGACATGAAACAGCCTTTTTTAGGAAAAAAAGATAGACTTTGATCTTACATGTACGAGTCCAAGATTCGGGGAAAGCGAAGTTATAGTCGGGATGATGTCCCTTGTGGCAATGACGACGAACCGCTCCATCCATCCACGGTCATTATCTTCATCCATGCTTGTGAGAAAAGCATGGTAACCACGTTTGTTGAAATCAATGTTATCAAAGGCAAAAAGCGCAAAAAAGCTCTACGGTTTGTTGGGGCTTTAAGCGCAAAGCGCAAATAAAGCATGGGCTGTAATAAAGAAAGGCACAAATAAAGAAAAACTATAAATATGTATGTGTAGTCCAAGACTAATATCTATAATCATGAATACCAAATATATGGACAAATAAATTGAAGAAAATTTATGATAAAGTGAAATATTAATTGTTTAGTGTCGCCTCTTCCGGATTACGCTCGTTAGAAAAGAATAATATGCCTTAGAGCCTTGATGACAACAGTGAAGCGCCTGTTAAGCGAGGCAAAGTGCTCAATATGTTTTGAGTCTCCCTTCAGGGCTTAAGCGCGCTTTGAAATTTATTACTCCTGCCACGAAAAACCTTGGGGGAGTAAAGATTCATCATATGAGCCAAGGTGAGGTCCTCCTTCATTTCCTAGCACAGCCTCCGCAGACAAGCCACCATTCGCCACACCGAAGATCCCACCTGTACCAAACAAACCTGGTATCGGTGGCACAGCTTCAAAATCACGGGGTCAAGTCCCCCGCTCAAAGAAAAAGCACCCAAAGTGAGTGGGTACATGTAAACGTATGTGAAGCCATTCTTAGTGAAGGTTACTCGCTCCACCAAATTGGGAGCAATGATGTTCAGGTCATGGCAATCACAGTCCTCCTTCACAGCAGGAATGCTAGAAGGGCAAATAGAAGAAGGGTATTTGCCAACAGCCCAAGTGCGAGAGTTTGAAGAAAGGAACTTCTCTTCGAAGTCCTTGGTTGTGTTGAGTTGTTTAGGGATGATGGTGCTCACCGTGGGAGGGTCAGCATCGACGTCAATTTCTTTGTCTTTGCTCTTCTTCAGGCTCCCATCGAAGAGAAGACCGGAGTTCTTGGAAGAGTTAGTAAAAGAAGCCATGGTCAGCAGAAGGTGATAAGAGTTCTTTAGAAAAGATTAAAGAAATATGAATGCAAAGAAGCCATGGTCAGCAGAAGGTGATAAGAGTTCTTTGAAGAATATTAAAGAAAGATGAATGCAGAAAAGAGTTGAATGCAAAGAAGTTGAGAGAGTTTGTAAAACTGATAACTGTAAAAGAAGAAGAATGAGGCGTATAAGTAAAGGAATAGGCGGCTAAAATCGTGGCCATAATTATCTCGAGAACCGGCAAAAATATTGCTAAATCGTGGAGTAACACGTGTTCGGGGTATTAAATGCAAAGAGACGTGTGTCTTGTCAAGCGTGAGAAACTTTTCAGAAGTGTTCAGAAAATTTCCCGCCAAGAAAGGAATCTTCACCAACTTCCCGGTAACACAAAGATGTGCCACCAAAAAGCAGGAGGACTATCTGTATAAGGTAAAATCGGTTCACATTAAATACTCGAATGACAGAGCGACACGTGGAATGAGGGGCTGACGGAAGACGAAGCGAGTGGAAACCAAATCCGAGGACAACAGCTTCGGTTGGCACCGGGTAGGCCCCAAAGGGAACATTATCAACGAGAGCAAACAGATATTTTTCACTAGATGACATTCAATAAAGAATATTCCTCAGTATTAAACACACATCCGTTACAGAGAATTTTGGCATCCATGCCCTACCATTACATATCCATCAATGGCTCCCATTATTGTCATTTAAGAGGGGCTTGATCCTAGGACCTTGTTTCCTAGGTATAGCTATAAATAGTGGCTTCAACAACCATTGTAGGATACGAAAATTCTGACAAGCTTATGCTACACATCATTCCAAGCTAAATAATACTTTATTTCCTGTCTAACGTTATTCTTATTGCTGCCTGATCACTCCCAACTCTAGTCCTAAAAAGGATAAGCGGTCGCTTCAAATATAATCCGGTCTAAAAGTCTGGAGTCGAATCCCACAGAGAACTAAGGCTTCGCTATAATTGTTAAATATCACTAAGAATACAAGTTCGAACAATTCCGATGTTATAAATATAAAGATTCTTATGTTAAACTAATTAACTAACAAATTAAAGTAGTGAATTAACAACTAGGGATACTAGGGGTTGGAGAAAAGATTAAGGAGATCTAGAGTTATGATTTCCCCAATTTTCGGAATCCTTCTCCCTACGTCTTCTAGAATTTCGCCTAAGTATTCTCTACCGATCATGAGTACTTTGGTTGTTGTAGCTCTCTCTCGAGCAACTACTAAAATTTACTAGATGTATTCTCTCGAACTACGCTAGCTGGCACTAATTTATCGCTTACTACGATTGCACCAAGGTTTTGTTATCTCTAATCCTGCCTTTAAACCCTCCATATTAATCTCTCAAATACGTTAGGAGTGGTATTGTTCAACAACTACCTAAATGTGTACTCTCTCTTGAGCAATATACACACTAAATATGCATAGTCAATTGATGGACATTCAATCAACAACAATAAACGCGTAGTTGAACAAGTAGAGAAATCTAACGGCTCAATTATATAAAAACGTAATAAGAATTCATCCTACAAAAGGTTCCATCAAAACCCTAGATAACAAATTAGCTATTCATAATAGTATGCAAAAGTACAATACTAGAATTCATAACCAATAATCGAAATAGGAAGACGGGAGTGAAAAACTAGTAGAAGAATTCTCCGCCTTACTCCTAGCGTGTTCTTGCCTCCTTAGGTCGAATCTCCACTCAAAAAATGTCTCTCCTTTAGGTCGAATCTGCTCTAAAAACGTCCTCCCTTCTTAGACATGTTTAGGGAGTATTTATAGGCTAGGGTTGAAGTTCTTGAGTCCAAATTCGGGCTGGAGTCTTTTAATTCACGACTTTTAATTACCGGGCTATAGACCTCGCGAGGCCAAGCTTATAGCGTGGTCAGCGTGGCTATAGAGCTGGCTACGCCTGGTCTGTAGCGCGGTCAAGCTGGCTATAGAGCTGGCGTTACTTGGTATGTAGCACGATAAGGCAGGCTATAGAGCTGGCTTTACTTGGTCTGTAGCACGGTTTGGGTACTTGATGCTTTTATGCTCTTTTCTTGCATTTTTGTCCTCTTTTTGCGCAACTTTCATTTGTCTTTGTCGTCCGATACTCCTACACATAAAACAATATGATTTAGCTCAAACGTCGTACAATTAAACATTAAACTAACATGTAAGGCGAGTAATGTACTAAAAATATAGTATTTTGGCCACACATCACTGCCTTCGAAAGCCTTTCTCCCGGAGCCAAGCTATCTGCTATTCAATCTCGATTTCAATGCTAAGTCTTGCATTTTATTTAATTTATTTATCATTTTGGGATCAAATCGATTCGTTTGTCTATAAACCATGCTACAAATTCAACTGTGCCATTTTACGGGTAAATAATAATACGAGTATAGTACTTAGACAAAAGTTAGCCCTCAGATGAACGTATCAGTATCAGGAAAAATAGCAAAATCAAAGTATCTTTTACTCATTTATTTCCACAAAGAATTCAAATTCAAAATGAATGATAGTATGCTTGACCAATACCCAGATGGGTGGTGGTATTTCATGTTACAACATGGTTTGGTTGTCACATGAAGCAGAGCATACAATAACAACAACAACAACAACAACAACAACAACTAAGTCTTAGTACCAAACTAGTCGGAGAGACGGCCGGAAAATCAATTTATGGCAACATAGAGACAACTGTTGCAACAGCTACATAAACCGTTACCATAGCTCTATTGCAACGGTTTATAGACCGTTCCACCAGATCGCGTGCCATTAGGTCTGTAGCTACGGTTCCGGCAACGGTTGCTTTAACCGTTGCTATAGTCCCATTTACCGCAACGGTTATTCATCTCTCTCTGATGCAATGAGTATTTTTATTTTATTGCAACGGCTTAAAACCGTTACCATAGTTTTAATGCAACGGACATATAAGTTATTGCAACAGCTAATTAAAGATACTACTACGATTTCGTAAAGCTATTATAACGGGTTTTTTCTATTGCTACGGTTTCTTATAGCTCAGCAAAAGCTATTACATCGGTTTGAATTACCTACTGCAACGGTTTACATATCCAATTGGAACAGTTTGTATGACCTATTGCAACGGTGTACATAGCCTTCTGAAACATATTTTGTTGCCTATTGCAACGGTTTTGGTGGCCTATTGTAACGGTTTAATTGAAACAATGATATTTTATATATAATTATTTACACATACAATAAATTATAATGCACTAAACTTTATATAATTCACAAAATGAAACTATTCATAAACATTTACAATCTAAATTAATTGTCCTTGTCCAACAAGCTAGTAATATCCATAAAAGCAAAATAGTTTAATCCAAGTGCATAAGTTTTACAATTTAAGAGTTAGCATAAGTTTCAAAATGTTTGATCACAAAAGATTCCTAGAACATCTAAATTTTCAGCAATAAATCAGAAACTCTTCTTAAGGAAGGTCAAGATCTTCATCGCTTTCGTCTTCTTTTTCATCATTTTCTCCACCTACAAAACAACAACAACCCAGTATAATCCCACTAGTGGAGTTTGGGGAGGGTAGTGTGTACGCAGACTTTACCCCTACCCTAGGATAGAGAGGCTGTTTCCGATAGACCCTCGGCTCCCTCCCTCCAAGAATTCCCCACAACCTCTTGGTTGGAAGTGGAGGGTGCTCACCACTAGAGCAACCCACTCTTGTCTCCACCTACAAAAGAGGATAAATAAAGTCATTATTACCTTCAAGCGCTAGTTGATAATTTAAGCAAAAATGAGGAAACTTAAGTACTAATGAAGCTTAAAGGGCATCCAGACAAGAGTCTCAATAATGCTCATACAAATCATAATGGAAGAAGTTTTTCATGCCAGCAGAAAACAAGCAAATAGCAAAGAATTGAGTCATTAAATCCTCCCTCAATGTGCTCAACTAGTTCGATGGAGTTCACATCTGTTAACACAACAGAAACTCCTAAGCTGAGGTGGAAGTCTAATATTAACAGCAAATTAACGCATACAATTTCCAAATTAACGCATACAGTTTCCAACAAGTCCAATTGTTGTAAGTAATAGTGACTAACACAAGTCTATGGCTATACTAAATAGTCTAGAATGTTTGCAGGCAATGCAATGTCACACATCCATAAAGACAATTATGTTAGCAACACATCTTTTTAACTTCATTAGTAATCTGGGAGTATTTGAGATATGTAGGCTACAAACCATATCCATTGTTGAATATCACAATCTATGTCATCCAATTATATTAGAAATAATAAGAAAATAAATTTTATAAACAGGATGGCCACGCATGATTTTCTTCGGGCAAAAAAGAAGATAAATTTCTAAGTCAATCAACTATATGATTTAATATGATGGAAAAAGTGAGAAATATTTCTCAGTACCAAAAAGAAGGTTATTTCATGCAACAGAAAGACACTTGATACGGATATTTCACACAAAGGGACAACAAGTATACTTGGGTAAATCACAAGTAAATATTATTTCACAAAACAAGAAATAATGTTGTCGACAATATGCCATGATTTTCCGGCAAATCGAAGGAAGAATAGAGAATTGACCGCAGAAATAAGTTACTTATGAATGCCTATTTACTTTCTCTTTAGACAAACAAAGAGAAATTGCAAAATAAACTATACGTTCTAATATCCAGGTTGGTAGTCATGTCATGAATGATATTTGAATTGAATGAGGTACTTTGATATTCTTTATAAAAATATAAAGCAAGTCATCAAGCAAAATCATACAAGAAAAGGACCTTAAAAGAAATCCTTCAGACTATTCTAAAAGCTTTTCAGATGATCTAAATACTGAAGTGCACACATTATACAAGGGAAAAAAACAGAATAATAAAGTTTCACCTTCACTCTTTTATCAGCATGAGTTTATTGAAACATGTATGCATAATGGGTATAGAAAATCCAAAGAATATTCAAACCATATTCTGTCCATTAACCAGAAGAGCCAGAACCTGTTCAATAAATAACCCCTTCTTGCAATGTTTATTCCATTTATCAATATCTCCCTGCCAACTTTAGTCTATTTTAATCATTAAGGCCTTTGCCTTACCAACATCCAATTGTAAAGGTAAGCACTCTTACAGCAATTTGTTTCACACAGATTCTCAAACAATAATTTAATTAAAAATGGAGTACTCAACAGCTGTTTAAACGTACTTGATTTCCACTATAAGAATCTAAAAGATTTTCTTTAATATTCAAATTATAAAGTACTTGAAGATCATGTTATAGCAATGTTGGACAAGAAAGAGCACGCTAAAATTGAACAAAAAAAAGAGCAAAAAACAGGAAAAAAGCAAGACATTGAAGTTTATTTTTTGTTGGAATTAAAGTGACTATTCATCCTTCTTGGCACCATAGTTAGAAGATTAAATAGAGAATTGACTCAAAATATTCCTAAGTTCCTAACCTTGAATCAGTTTAATCTCTCACAAATAATACATAATCAGAACACATACGAAACTAGTATTGTATACATATATGGAAACTGCATCCACTATTTCCCCTCAGAATAAAAGAAAGATCACAACAACAAAGTGATTTTAAATTGTTTGTTTTGAAAAAAGTGATCAAACTCGACTAAAAAAGAAGAAGAAAAGAAAAAGGTGATTGATCTGACCATGTATGATATATTTAGAATAAAAATTTAACTATATACTATCATAAAAGAAAAAAGAGTTACAACAAAGATTAATCTTTCAATAAGAGTAAAGATTATGTCCTTTATAAAAGTAAAAGAATGTTAATTTTTGTAAATAGGGGTTATCATACATGGAAGTACAATGAAAGTCCACATAAAAGTTCACCAACAAAAGTTTAATTAGAAAGATAACAATTACCAAGAGTACAGTAGATTGAAGTTATGGTTAACATGGACAGCTGATGGAAGATTGACAGAAGAGCTTCCGATCATAAACTGGATAGCCGATCTCTCAGGTTGAAGTTTCAAATTCCGGGGAACAAAGTCGGGTTCTGTAGAGTTTTGATGGACCTCCTCAAACTCAATTCCATTCGACCTTAAAATATTAAACTTTAAAATGTGATCTTAATGGTAATCAAGCAATTAAGCCAGAAATCGAGCAATTCCACAAACATCATTTAAACTACCGGTGCAAACCCTACTGATTGTCAATTCAATCAGACTGTATCACTCAAATACCCCCATATATAAAAATAAAAATAAAAATAAACAAAGAACCGGGTAACAAGGAACATTAAAACTGAAATCTTCATTCAAACACACAACCAACGAATGTGGTTATCCCAAATTTATTAAAAAAATAATAAAAATTTACAGTGGTTTCTCCCACAGCTGCAAGCGACAATTTTCAGCGAGGAATGGGATCGAAGAGATGGAAGAAACTTTGGTTGAGTGTCTTTTTTTTGCTATTTCTTGGAGTCAAACTCTCGTCTTCCTCTTCCTTCTTTCAAGTCCTATTTCTAATCAAAACCCTAATCGAACAATCACAGAAATCTTAATCGCTTATCTTTTGCAAATTTCAATCAATTAACACTATGGCAACCAGCGAAAACAAGAATATGAACGCCAAATTGGTTCTCACCTTTGATTTATCAATTTTGGTTATGGGTTGAGGTTTAATTCCATAAGGCCTCCTCTTTTTGCCTTATATATATGGTCTGGGTCTTCTTTTCGGGTTTATATTTGCTGTGGCCCGTGAGAATCTGTTCTAATCTATTTTGTTATTTTGGCTAACATTTTGGTTAAAAGTTAATTAATAGTTATTACATAAAAAAAATATTAATTAAGTAAAGACAAAAAATGCAAAAAAGAGGGATTTTGGCGGGTTTCACTAAAATTGAGGGGGGAAATTAGGAGGGAATTAATAACCGTTCTCATTAAATTTTTTCCAAGATTCGTTGCAATAAATATATATTGGAACGGTTCGCATAAAAGTTGCAAAACCAAACACCTATAGGAACGGTTCCCACCCAAATGCAATGATCTTATAGTTAAAGTGTGCCGGTAGTACCCATTGCAACAGTTACAACCGTTGCAACAGCCCATCTATTGTAACGGTTTCTAAACCGTTGCAAAAGTATCCGTTGCCATAGGCCATATGAATTCCCAGCATCCATTTGCTCCATATAGAGCAAATTATAATCAACATAGAGCATTTAACCTCAAGAAAAAAAGTATATAAGTGACACGAAAAACCGGTTAACAAGGAGAATCGCAAATGTTAACCAAATACATAAAGTAAGGATGGTGAAAACTCAAAACACAGGTTCATACCATGGTTGAACCCATAAAATGCACTTGTAATCCCATCAACTGCAGAACCAATCTGAACCATTAAGTAAGTAATTAAGTAGCTCGAAAAGAGCGATGAATTAGGACAAGCAGATTTAGAGACAAAACAGGCGATTTATCCAATACATTTTCTATTGGCGATTTCATAAAACTTTTAAACGGGGGTTTCAGAGTTACATTTAACACACTTCTAAAAGTACAGGTACTATTACTATTCTACGTAACTCTCATATGTTGCAACATTAAAAAAATTAAAATTTATTTATCAATTCATCTTAAATACCAATATTTCTGGGGTAAATTTCACAAATAGTCATATAACTATGATTTTTTCACTAAAGTCATATAACTATGTTTTTTGCACATAAAAATTATAAAACTTTTACTGACTCACACAAAAATCGTAGTGACCAAAAAACACAACTTTGCGATGGTATTTTCTTATTCCATATTTTTCAGTCTAATAAATAATAATTCAATTAAAATAGAAATGACCCAACCCAACCTCACTTCACCTTACCCAATACCCATATATATAAATTAAAATGATACTAAAAGTGAATCCTCCAAAACACGATACTTCTATCTTTTATTTTCTTTTCAAGATGTTCATTCAAATTGATAGCACTATTGTTTCAAGAGCTTTTTAATTGTCCATACCTTTTGTTACTGGGTCAGAATCTCACGCAATTCAAACTAAGTTATTTTGGGGGGAAGGGCTCACTTTTAGTATTATTCTAATTTATGTATAAGGGTATTGGATCGGACAGGTCAGTCCCGATCCAATATAATTGACTGGTCGATCGAAATTAATTACATTCGCTAGCCAAAAAGTGAATAGAATATGTATATTTATGTATATAATACACATATGCAAAAATATATATTTTATTATTATATTTGGAAGCGCATAT